TAAACTGGTCTTTAGGGTAGAGGGGTACGTGGGACCATGTTCCTTTAATTTAGCAAGAGGTTAAGGGTCAGTTTTGGGTTCAGTTAATTTTAGTTTGTATTGAAACTGTATTTGCTATCAATCCAGATCACAATTTTCATCTCAAAAGTTACCACTCTTGGAGGTGGTTGGCTCCTTAAATTGCCAAAGCTCGTTTTGTTTAACGGCCGAACGACTTACACATACCTAAGGTTTACCTAAATGACAAGTTGGTACCCAAAAGGTTTTGAAACGACAAATAGGTATCTTCCGTCATGTTCTGTTAGTGATTTTCGTTTGATAATAGTGAAAAGACTAGAATGCACTTGAAAGTTTGATATTTTAGTTTTTTATAAATTAAAAAATTTCTAAAAAACCCCCTAAGTTTGCTAATTTGACTAAATACCCCAATATATAAAAATTTTGTAAAATAACAAAAACACCCCCGCCACCCGCAGTGCCAAATTCTGGCCACCACTGCTGGAATCTGGCCAGAATATTGTGTTACGACATAGACCCGTCGGATCTGTGTCGTAACGTGTAGATCTAACATTTTCTAGCAAGATATGTGGCTTATCTGATAGGAAAATGCCAGATCTACGGCCAGATCTGGCCGTTAAGACCGGAATCTGGCTGGAAAATTGCGTTACAACACAGACTCGTCGGATCTATGTCGTAACGTGTCGATCTGGCATTTTCCGACAAGATCTGGCCGTCGAGGTCAGAAAAGGCCAGATCGACGCATTACGACGCAATATTCCGGCTAGATTCCGGCGGTGGTGGCCAGAATCTGGCACTGCAGTGGTAGGGGTGTTTTTGTTATTTTTCAAAATTTTATATATTGGGGTATTTAGTCAAATTAGCAAACCGAATGGGTTTTTTAGAAATTTTTAAATTTATAAAAAAACTAAAATGTCAAACTTTCAAGGGCATTCTAGTCTTTTCATTATTATTAAACGAAAATCACTAACAGAACATGACGGAAGGTACCTATTTATCATTTCAAAACCTTTTGGGTACTAACTTGTCATTTTGGCAAACCTTGGGTATGTGTAAGTTGTTCGGCCTTTGTTTAACACAGTTCTTTGACACGTTACTAATTTTTGGCACTTGGTTAGATAATTGAGTAAGTGGTTATATCTTTCATTAATATTAACTTTTTATATAAGCACATCTCCCACTAATGATTCCATGTATGTTTCACAACACATAGATGGATACCTTGCGTTGCTCCGCAAGTGTCAGTACCAGCACAAAGATTGGTTTCGCTGTGACATTCGAAGTAGTCAGAAATGGCTTCAAGAAAACATCTTATGTTTTCTTCACCACAATTGATGCCCTCCCTATCTTGGAAAGGTGGACAATATTCTCCAACATCTTAAATAACTCTCAAACCAACTTTCTTGACCTTGTTCTCCATGTGCCATGTCATTAAATAGGCCATTTGTAGCTGTTTCATATTGTTAATAGCCCATGCCCATTCCTCACCAGTTTGTAGATTGTCTAAACCGAGTCCCGGAACATCTTCAATAGAATCAATGGGTAGATTTTCTAAACCTCTAACACAATGAATCGTCCCTTCAACATGTGGATGAATGTTTGGCTCAACTCGATATTACCTCAAAAGACCTAGATTAGATGGTTCTACACTTGAAGGTAATGTGTCATTACATTGGTTACTTTTGGTAGCTAATCTATGTGCTTTACTGCCACTCATATTAATATGTGGGATTTTTGTAATGTACAATGGATATATTTTGTTGATGGTGTTCTTGGAGAATGTCAGGCACATTGCAACATCTTCATCATCTTCGAGGTCTAAAGACATTCCATTATGTGCATATTTTAGCTACATAGAAACTTGAATAGAAGACCTTACATGATCTATACGTAGATGATTGCATAGCACATCAATAAACCCCTAATACTTCATTTCAACACGTAATTGGGGAATTTTTGTCTCTCTCTGACATAACTATGTGTACCATTGAACACTCTCCATTCTCCTCTGTAACAAACTAAAGTAACCACATTTTCATATTAAATAATCTTGCGATTAATATAACATACATCATAAGTATATGATTACTAACATATCAAAAAAAATAGAAAACAGTCTTAAACACAACTCGACGTAACATATGTTAGAGATATATCAGCTATAAAGGATTCTGCAGTTATAACTGATCAGCATTATTTGAATTCTAAACATGAGAAGATCACGGAAGTTGATAATGCAACATCATAACAAGCTATTATTTAGATATATTGTAGCTGTCTTCTTATCTTCTCAGTAACCACTTTGTAAATTCAAATATATGGATTACTTCTATAAATATAATGTAATACACGACTGGTAACATACAGGAAACCAACCTTCAATTTCCGTTTTTGACTTGGTATCAAAGCTTCATTAGTTCACGCTTTTCTCTCTTCGATCCGTTATGGCCTCAGCTTCCAATAATCCCTCTTTTATCATTCCTAATATCACATCTTTGGTCTCTATTAAACTTGAGGGACCAAACTATCTGAACTGGATTGCTCAGTTTATTCCAGTTCTAAGAAGTCACAACCTCCTCAACATTGTTGATGGCTCAGAGGTGTGTCCTCCTCAGTACCTCGTTGATTCAGATGGCAAAGTCACCTCTGATATCAACCCTGCCTACCTGGTGTGGCAGAAGAAGGATCAATTCATCTTGGCATGGTTAAATGCTACCCTTAGTGAGAAGGTTTTGTCCACCGTTTATGGCCTCACTACCTCCAAACAAGTTTGGAATACATTGTCGACAAGATTTGCTTTTCAGTCTCGCTCTAGAATTTCTCACCTCAAAAGACAACTCCAAACTCTTCAACAAGGTACTAAGAACTGTTCTGATTACTTGCTTACAACAAAAAATTGGGCTGATCAACTATCTGCCACTGGTAAGCCTATTGAGAATGATGATCTGATTTCATATGTTGTTGGAGGACTTAACCCCATATTTACCCCTTTCATCACTACTCTTGATTTTGCCACTCGTGATCATTCCATCTCCTTTGATGACTTCCAAACTGAGTTACTCAACTTTGAGCAACTTCTCGAGGCACAAAATTAGAATTTACCATCTGCAGGTACTCAAATGGCTTTCTTCACCAATAAACATAAACCACATCATGGCAGAAAACCAAAATTCCTACCTCAGAAAAACCAGCAGTTCACTCGACCAAATATCACTCCAAACACGTCTCCAAATCCTTCCTCTCATACACATAAAACACCACCCTCAAACACCTCCAACACATCTAGTTTTTCAAGCAAATTCCCTTCCTGTCAAATATGTGGTAAATCCAATCACCAGGCACTTGACTGTTACCATCGAATGGACTTCAACTACCACGGTAGGCATCCTCCAGCACAATTAGCTACTATGGCAGCTCACACTCATACTGTCCAGGAGCCAGAACAGCCATGGTACCTTGATAGGGGTGCTAACAATCACATTACTTCAGAGCTTGAGAACTTGACACTGAATCTGCAACCATATCATGGGAATGATACAGTCACAGTAGGCAATGGAGGAGGTTCACACATCACTACCACTGGTTCTTGCTTTCTTTCCAACTCCAAAACAAAATTTTTTCTATCTGATACACTTCATTGTCCTAATGCCTCATCTAATCTTTTATCAATTCAGAAATTCTGTCATGACAATAACTGCTACTTTCTGATCCAATCTCACAACCTACTCCTATCACCTTACCTGTTACCTCTCCTCTAGAAAACACTCCAACCTCAGTCAATTTGCCTATTCCAGATTCAACTCCACGACCTGATAACAGTCCCCTCCCCACTCATGTCTCTCCCTCAGATGACACTTTCACTTCATCCAATTCCTTTCCTGCCAGCAGTCCCTTACCCACTCTTGCCTCTTCACCACCAACCTCTCCCCCACCCTCTTCCTTTAACACAGATACATAGCCCCTCCCTCCATCCACAGATCCCACTTCATCTAAAATTATAACCAGATCTCAAACCCATTCCTTGAAACCTAAGTAATTCCCAAAATATCACCTCTATCATTCCACCAAACCCCTTCTAAAAGCCCTCTTTACGTCCTCCTTACCTATTGAACCCCGGACTTATCACCAAGCAGTAAGGGATCGTAATTGGCTAAGTGTTATGCAAGCTGAGTACAGTGCACTTTTAACAAACAATACTTGGACCCTTTGTCCTCGACCCACTCATCAAAAGGTTGTGCGGAATAAATGGGCATTCAAAGTTAAACAGAAATCTGATGGCACTCTTGACAGGTACAAGGCACGGTTAGTTGCCAAAGGGTTTGATCAAGTTGATGGTCTGGACTTCAATGAAACATTTAGCCCTGTTATTAAACCTGCTACAATTAGAATGGTTTTAGCTTTGGCTGTTCACTACAACTGGTGCATTAGACAGCTTGATATTTCTAATGCTTTTCTCCATGGTTTTCTTGAGGAAGAGGTCTACATGGAGCAACCTAGAGGCTTTGAAGATCCTAAGCTGCTTGATCATGTTTGCCGTCTTCACAAATCCATATATGGCCTCAAACAAGCTCCTAGAGCTTGGTTCTTGTGGCTCTCTCAGGTTCTATTGGAGCTCGGTTTTACTGCCTCTACAATTGACACTTCCCTTTTCACTTCATAGAGACAGCTTGTGTGTTTTTGTGCTCATATATGTTGATGACATCATTATCACTAGCAATGCATCATCTACCATTGAGCATCTTATTCTTAATCTCAAAACTGAATTTGCTGTTAAAGATCTTGGTCCCTTGTCATATTTTTTAGGCATACAGGTCACTCCTACATCTGCAGGTCTTCATTTAAATCAAGGGAAATATGTAACTGATTTACTCTGCAAACTGAAGATGGGAGGTGCTAAACCAGCCTCTACACCCTGTACCTGAGGCAGCCAGCTTTCAAAGCTCTTGGGTGACCCTCTCCTTGATCCTACCGAATATAGAACAATGGTGGGAGCTCTCCAATACTTGACACTTACAAGGCCAGACCTCTCCCATAGTGTCAACCAGCTATGCCAGTTCCTTCATTGTCCAAGAACTACCCATCTCATAGCTGCCAAGCGAGTCCTCAGATATCTCAAAGGGACACTTCACTTTGCCCTTCAATTCAGCAAAGGCTCTTTAAACCTTAATGCTTTCTGTGATTCAGACTGGGCAGGCAGTCCCGATGACAGAAAGTCCACATCGGGTTATTGCATTTACCTTGGTCCTTGCCTAATTTCTTGGACAGCCAAGAAGCAACCCGTTGTTTCTAGATCTAGCACAGAGGCTGAGTATCGGTCAATGGCACACATAGTGGCTGAGCTCTAGTGGCTCAGGATGCTGCTTAAGGAACTCCATATACCTCTGCACACTGCCCCTTGCATTTGGATTGATAACATCAGTGCTTTAGCTCTATCATCCAACCCTGTTTTTCATGCCCGAATAAAGCATATTGAAGTGGACTACCACTTCATCCGTGAGAAGATTTTCAATCGAGACATTCAAGCCAAATACATCTCAACAGCTGAACAGCCGTCAGACATATTCACTAAAGGCCTTACTTCCTCACGGTTTAGATTACTTCGAGACAAACTGATGATTCGTGATCTTCCCATCAGTAGGGGGATGTTAAAGATATATCAGCTATAGAGGATTCTGCAATTATAACTGATCAGCAGTATTTGAATTCTAAACATGAGAAGATCACGGAAGTTGATAATGCAGTATCGTAACAAGCTATTATTTAGCTATATTATAGTTGTATTCTTATCTTCTCAATAACCACTTTGTAAATTCAAATACATGTATTACTTCTATAAATATAATGCAATACACGACTGGTAACATACAGGAAACCAGCCTTCAATTTCCGTTTCTGACTACATAAATTCAGTTCGCATAAAGGATTACGTGAACTGGAATAGCCTTATTAAGTTCACAGAGAGAAATCGTGCAAATGATTCAGTTTGCGTATATCATCACATAAACTGATCGTGACTTTTGTTTCAAAGTTCAATTTAACACATGCATCCCATTCTCACAGCAATAAGAATGATACCATAAAGAACATTAAATAGCATTTAAACTTAACACAAAACTTAAAAAAAGAAAAAAAAAAAAAAACAAGGCATGTATCTTCACATTCAATTTTCACACCAACACATTCAATTATAAAAATTAAAAAAAAAAAAATCATTGAAAAGAAGTAATTTATACAAATTGACGATCTTACTTCAGTATAGTGTTTAGAAGTTTCAAATGTTTAAGGTTCAACTGATTTTAAGTGGTGCATGTGGATTGATGTGTGGAGAAACTTGTAGAAAATGGGGGTAAAATGTTTAAGTAGTGGAAAGTTAGGAGTAAAGGTAATTTCCCAATTTGGTATTAAGTTATTTGGTTTCAAAGGTACAGGGTTTGAAAAGTGATCATATTTAAACCCCCAACTTTTGGTCATTAACTTAATAAACCCATTAATAATTCCATTAAAAAATTAGTCAAAAGAATTAAATAAAAGATTAGTTAAAACCTTTCACAGTGGATGTAATCAATTTAAGTACAATCTTTCATGAAATAATCGAAAAGGACACAGGTTTCATTATGTTCAATTTATGGACGATTAATTGTAATTTACTGTTAACTTTTATCGGTGAATAACAAACAGACTTACATACCCCTAGTTATTTAATTAGTTTTATTTTTTGAATTTTAAATTTAAGAACTACAAAAATACAGTTAAGAATTAAGAAAATTCGTCTGACTTCAAAGTTTAAATATTAAAAATGATAATGAAATAAGAAAAAAAATTAATAAAAGAATTTAAACAAAAAACAGAAAAAAACGGTTTTAAATATATAAAAAAAAAAAAAGCTCACAAAAAATTTTATATAAGAGAAAGAACAACCATTTTTATTTTTAAATTCGAAAAATTAAAAAGTAAATTTAAAACAGAAAATCAAAATTAAAAAAGGAAAAGCTTCTGCTAATTACGCAGCTGGCATGAGGCTTTTCCTTTTATTTATTTATTTAATTTTTTAATTTTTTAGTTCTTTTTAGTATTAATTTTATTATTTCTTTAATTTGACATTTTCAACACGTTTCAACATTTCATTGGATGAAATTATTTTAGTTGACTCTGTTTTGCGCTTTTTTTTTTTCTAATTACTTACTTAATGTGTAGTTACCAAATTCGTCCTTATTTTTTGTTAAGTGTAATTGCTATTTAATGTCCCTAAATTGAAAAAAAAAAAAAAAAATGATTGCACCTAAATTTGATTATATCTGTTGACTTTATAAAGAAAGTAAGGAGTTATCATAATTTCTGGTCCTCCAAGCCGAAGGAAATCAAATGCTGCTGTTATTTATTAACACACTAGTGTTCAGAGCATTAATCCTTTTGTTTTGGTCTCACTTTATGCAACCATTTACAAATTTTACATACAAAAACCACCATGCAATAGTACATGATTATATAGTATTTACTACACTTAAAAAGGCTATACAATTGAAGGATTAATACCTGCAACTTATTATTCTACCTTATTCCCTTCAAGCTACTGAAATGGCAATTAAATGCCATGCTGCCCGCCCCTTATGCATGGAGACACAACTTATGCCAACCTCAAAATTTGTAGCTATACTAATGATCGACGCCTTCATTGATATATACATATATACATGCAAACCTGTTCGGGGATTTACAAATTCTTTAGGGCTGAGTATGCAGAAATATGAATGTTGCAGCATTCTGCGTCCCACGAGAAGTCTCGTGACATGGCATCGATGATTTTTTGCTTCCATGTAGATGGGCTGTTCTTCTGCACAACAACAGAACAATTTTCAAGAAATGAAAAATAGAGAGGTTTTCTAGGTGGCTAATCAATTAATTATTTTGAGATTACATGAGAATATATTACAGCTTTGCATAAAAAAACACTCACAATTTCGTTCAAAGCCTGGCTTAGGGTCATATTTCCGAAGGTAGAGTTGATAAACTGTGAAAATTTAGTGGTCTCAATATCTAGAAAATGCCTGTCAAGACAATAAACACAACACATGAATCTTTCCACTTTTCAGCGTGAAGCAAAAATTGATGATAATTTCAATAACTTCAAATATATTAACATAGTTACCTGAATCTGATATCATCCGAGGCCACTGAAACTGGAGCAGCACCATATTTTAGGGCCTTGAGCTACATTATTTAAATTAAAGGGACAACAGATTTTAGTACTCAAACATATGATAGATAGCAGCCTAACATAGTAAATCTGAAAAGGGAAAAAAAGGTTGTGAGATTCAAGTGACAGCACATTGATGATAAGTTAAAGTAGTCTATATTGATTGAACACTGTGCATGGAATGATAGACAACTGTATTAGAACAGATAACTACAAAGATGAGAGAAAATATCAGAAATTTATGCTGAATAAGAAGAAGATATGGCCCTCATCGGGACTGAGCATCTAGCCACATTAGCAGCAGGGCATAATGTGACAATGCATACAAATATGAGAACCTTGCAAGTGCGCATGTTAGTATGCATGAAGTCAATTTTGAAGTGTTTAAGAAACTAAATTTTTTGTAGTTGAGACCCTGGATTCCTATGATAATCCAAAGAAAACCTTGCAAGTTCAAGAAATAGCTAACGCCAACAGCTATACAAGCTTAAATTTTTGAATCAACACTGTGATTAACTTACTGGCACTTGAAGGACAGGATCATGGAAGGATTGGCACAATATAATGTCAGATCCTGCAAAGATCAGGTGTGCTAAAGCTTCATCATAGATATCGAAAAATCTCACATGTCCACCCTGTAAACATAGGAGAATATGGAATTAGATTATTAAACTTCAGCTTGAATCAAAATGAAAGAGGACAAAAATTGCCTTTGGTAGAAGTAGAACAAGACTCTTGGAAAAATTATTCTGTAAAATCAAATAATATAACAATGAGCATAAGAAAATGACAATCATTAACCATAAGTTTGATTCAGGTTAGATCTTGAAATGAAAATGGTTTAATATAGAGGATGATTTTCCACCTGAACATAGATGATATGCCAGACAAAAGACTGATAAGCAAAAAGGCAGCTTATACTGTACCTTAAGCTCTTCCTGCAAAGATACCAATGCACTATTCGCACTTGGTGTTTTGTCAGTCCCCATGAAGATAAACTGTAAGCAACAGAGGAAAAAAAAATTCAAATCCATTGAAGAAAGAATTAAAATATAATTATACAAGCCAGATAACTTGACAGAAATTAGTCTTATTAAGTTGACTATCTGATAAGACTTCAAAAGAAAAGCCTGCATTTTTCTAACCATTTTGAATGAACCCTTGTAATATAAAGCGGTAAGGTTTTACATGATTCAGCTACCCACACAATTCTAATGGAAAAATACACAACTCAGATAGAATTATAGACCTGGATGCCATTCATGATAGCATCTCGAAGAACTGCCTTCAGGTTCTCCAAAACAACATCTGATACCTCTGAGAACATGCATCCAACCTGATAAAATTTCATTGTTGTTTCTCAGTAGGATTTCAGGTTGTTATAACAACAGAAGCAAGATATTATATAAGATTCGTGTGAATATCTCGTGCAACATTATGAAAACAAATGCATTAAGTTTTAAAATATGTACCAGCTTATGTAAAAACAAATATAGCTCTCATAAATATCTCATGCAATTGTACTAGTCTTCCATAAAACCTCATTACATATAAAAACATATATTTATATTCTGAGAATATATCATAAATATGCTGTAAGGTTAGATAAAATGCAAGATGCTGTTCTATTGCTATCTATCTCAACAACACCACTAAACAAAGGTTACCAAGCTATCACAAATAACTAAGAACTCAGTGGTTTTTCATAAACATGCAAAATCAAAGTTTTACACTCACAAGAACTGTAGAAGCATGCTTGAATAACCCCAGCTGCTGCTGTAATGCAACTTTGCAAGCAGTTTTACCCTGTATATTCTCTGCACAATAATTTTCTCTAAGAAATTTGTCATAATAAGGATCCCAGGTGGAGTTGTCAAATCCAAAAGGAGCAACAAGCAACTTGTTCCTGCAGCCAGATGTAAAGAAGAGGCGGAAAATTGTTAAAAAGCTAGGGTTTCTATCAAAAATCATGCATGAACATATGATAAAGAACTGAATAACAAATCAATTGGCGGTAGCACATGATTTTCACTACATCTCCATTACCAGGAAGGAGAAGGGAAAGAGGACAAAAACAAATCATTCAAAGAACTTTAGAAAAATTAAATGGCACACAAGTTTAACTTACTGGTGAATGCTTAGGGTAGATTCCAGTCCATGACTCAAACTACGAATGATCTCGCTTTTTGAATGCATGGATGACATTATAATGACTTTATTGGAGTAAACTACACCACCCTGCAAGTTTGAAGAAAAGTAAATATTAAAGTGTGCCAGAAAGCCAAAAGAAACAAGAGATGATAATTATTATGAATTTTACTGGATGGAAGACAATATCGTATAAAAGCAAAAGCACAACACGAAATTGTGACAATGCTTTGCAAGATATAAGGGATATAATCCAGCGTAAGATAAAATGAAGTCAAGAGAAAGAGAGCTCATTCTGGTCTGTTAAGTAGGATTAGTGATTTGATTAAAATCTGCAATTTGGGGTGTTATATATCCATATTATTAAATCAAATAGCCAATTCAATACTACTTTCCTTGAAATGGGTATGTGCTAATCCAAATCTTAAGATGTACATTGCTATATATCAATATTATTAAATCAAATAGCAGGCGATTCAAGTCTACTTTCCTTAAAATAAATATGTTCTAATCGAAATCTTAAGATGTACATTGCAAACCTACATTTCTTAGGAACCACACAAAATTGACCATCTTTGCAAAAACAGTGAAACACTATCTCTCAAGTTTTATCCTTCAATGTCAAATTTGAGCCAGTTTTGGTGTTTCTAAGTAGCAAATATAGAAGTCTACTTCATTGGCATGCAAGAAAATTATTATATGTTATAGTCTTTGTCATTATATTTGCATATTATTAAATGCGGGTATGTCACATCAATTTGAGGAATTAGAAGAAATAAATCCTTTCCAAAATCATAGCCAATTACATTTTATTTTTGGTCGCAAATCTGACAGTCTCATTGGTACAGATATAGACTATAGGTCTTTCCAGTGAAACAAAAGGTATCGTCAATGCTAACAGTACATACAAAAGGCACTTTTAAAGATGCTAAGCTAAATTGAGAACGTTGCCTCAAATTTTCATTAGGAATTAACAGGCTAGGGGAAAAAAAGATTATATAAGCAGAAGTGATTACCTTCAAAGTGTTGATTAGATGTGTCTTATTGTTGTCTTGCAAACGGTCAGGACGGTGAAGTCTAACAGGATCAAGTCCACAGAGTGCAAGCTTATCAGGATGTGCAAGACACTAAAATATTAAAGCTAATAATGTTATGTTCAGATTAAAAGGACTGATTGGAAATATAGTTCCAGAAAGGATAGTAACCTGCCTGTGAATCAAGGCTGTGGCAAGTCAACATTATTTTAGTGCTTCCAAGACCCTATATATGGAAGCAAGAACACATTTATTACAATTTGCACAAGATTAAATCTTCTTATCCTCTGATTGATTACTAATATGTTAGAAAGGAAAAGAACAAGACATACAATCCACAAGAATCCTGACAAGTTACCAAAGAAAAGAAAATAAAATAAACAGCACACAGCCAAATCACACTTTGAGAGTCTTGCCTCCAAGCAAAAGAAAATAGTGCAAGAGGAGAGTTCTAAGCTGCACCTGGTTAACAAATATATCCCAGAAAAGTGGTCCAACTACAGCAGTCTCCCAGTTGTGTATGTGTAAGACATCAGGCTTCTTTCCAGATTTTACAATATAATCTAAAGAAGCACGAGAAAAATAGGTAAACCTGAGAGCATCAAAGGGATAACTTGTCACATAAAAAATAGTTACTGCAAAATAATGTAATTTAGTAGATGACTAAAAAGGTAAAGAAAAAATGTTACCAACCGTTCAAAGTCATCTGGATAACCATATACCCTATCACGGCTGAAAAATGATGAATAATCCAAAGGTTGAATGAAAGTGACTCCAATTCCATGGACAACACTGGATAATGAACATCAAAAGGTAAGTCTAAATCCCAAAGACCTAAAGTTACATATAAACAAAATGCAGTTTCTCATTCATTTGGCTTCCTCATGCCCCCAAATAGTTACTGATAACCAACAAAATATAAAAATAAAAAGTTGCCTTGAATCAGTACAGATTGCAGTACAGAGAAAGCACCAAAACTCACCCAGTCCAAATTTTGTTTCCATGCAATTGACCATTAAAATATGAATAGGCCTCTGCCTCAATTTCCCGCAGCCCATGCACTTCATCTAGGTCCATACTAGCATACCTATTTATGCAGTAAATTCCTTAAGTCAAATGAACAAGTACTTCAAGTTTGCTATCAAAACTAGAAACAAAAGTTAATAGAACTCCAACTATTAGATAAAATCCATTTATATTGTCCATTAAAAGTAAAAAAAATTACAGTTTAAACAAACCCTCTATTACAATAGACAGCCTAACTAATCTTTTTCTTCACAAAATAATCAACTTCCTGTTAAAAGAGGAGATCCAACTAGAAGACAGGGAAAGACATGATTAGTGATTTTGTGCAAGCAATCTACAACAACTCTGCAATGCCAAATTTGGACATATGATCCTATAGATGGTTTTTATGTTTGTCAACACCACTAACCATGTGGAAATAGGACACAAGTTTCAGCCAGAATACCAGATTCCATGTCCAAAGACATCATATCTAAGTGGATCTACAGGTGTTTTAATGCTCTCTTGAGTCTTGTCTCCCTATGGCAGGTGCTCATGGTTCCAGTTGCTCCCAAGGATCTAAGTAAAGAAGTTGAAAGTAGATGTATAGGAGGTTGACCAGTTACACCATGTCTACACCAAAATGGTAAACTGAACAGAAATACTTTCAACTTGCGTTCCATGAGAAACATAAGTTGTTCTATAGTAAACTTATGTAATGACTGGATTACGACTATGTACATAACTAGATGTAAGAATAAAAGCCTCATTTGATTCCCACGAAGAATGAGGAAATCAAAGGAAAAACACTTTAAAGATGGCATCATTCTGTCAGCAGTTGACAAATGCAAGTGCTATACATGATGGAAAAACAGCAGCTGGTGTCAGGGTACAGACAACAGAGTAAAGGTGATCAATTAGAGTGGCTGAGCTGGTGCAATAACGCAAGATATATTAGGAGTCTTAAGGTAATATTTTAATGAAATTCTGGCAAAAACAAGAGAAAAATCAAACCAGCAATTCACTTGATAAGATAGTATAAAGGATGAGATTTAAGCTGTTTTCTGTTTTTCATTCTTTAGAGAGTAGCCAAATAAGCATGATACAATGAGATCTAGGTCTCCTCCCATTGTTAAATTCCATTGGAAATTGAAGTATGAGATCCATCAATTACTTTGGCAAAATAACCTCCACTAAGTGGCCCTTTCTTTGTAGTGCACAGCATAAGCCTGTTACATATGAAGCCAAAGATCCAACTGAGACCAACGGTTCCATTTCAGTGCAGATGTGGATAATGTGATAAGCATTCCTGAATTGCAATGATAAATAACATGATTATTAGATTAAAAAAATCTAAAATAAGAGAAGGATGCTAAAATTATCAAGATGTTAAAGTGCTTGAGAGAACACATGACTGAGCAATCAAAGAGAACACAACAAATTAGTCATAAACTAGAATTTCATCACACCTATAAACTAAATTTTTTAGAGTTTGTGGTTCATTGGCATGATATTCACTAGAAGAAAAAAAAAAAATCTCTTGTTTTTCAGGCCATAAGAATGAATACTTTTAGTCACATGCCAAGTAGACCAAAAGTTAATCTGTTTGGATCCCCCCCATCTATAATTGAATTATAACATGGAGCAAGTTGGTCTGCGCGTGTATAGATCCACATGACACTTCTATTAATAAAATTCCCACGCACGTTAATTGTATGTTAAAACTTGGGTAATTTAATGGGCCCTTAACCATGAATTTAAACTTTTGGGATTAATGGTGATTTAGCACACCTGATAGTCTACTCTATTTTATAACCAATTTTCCCTTTAGAAGATGTCTGTTGTGGGTATGATGGCTCATCAAATGTTCAATAAAAGTTCTATCAACTAATCACACTGTATCAGAGACACTTCAATTCAACTCTGGCAAAGAGGAAACAACAGAACATTTAATTTCCCGAAGCAAGCAAAAAGAGAGTCAATATAGGCTTCCATATAGTTGAGACATTTGAAAAATCAAATTCCAATTTTCTATGTGTTATCATTCTATGGTTTGGCATCTAAACAGTCAAATCTCCAAGTGAGCAAATCCATTCAGGCATAGCAATATATCTATGTCCACAATCAGCATGGATCTCTATTGTGTGTGTGAATGTGCTTGTTTGAGTGACTATGAATGGTTTTTCTTTTCTTATAGTATAAAAAGAAATTTCTAACATACAGGGATTACAATTTTCTGTTTCTAGGCAGGGGCATTATATTAAAACATAATCTGAAACATTTTCCTTGAGAATTAATTTTAAAAAATAGAAAAGATAACTTCTATTTAAAAATTTTACTTTTTGCTTTCATTGAGGAAATGTTGGAATTCAGCCAAAAGCTCAGCATCATTTTTCTGCAGGATATCAGAGAAAACATCAGCTACCCTAACTTTAGAATCCAGGACCAGATTTCTCAAATCAGATGCCTCCCCGGTGTTAATCAAGCCAGTGAGAACCATTGAGTCTATCCGAAGCAGCAACTCCCAACAAATTGATTGCTTATCTGATTTAAGAAGAAAACCCATATAAAGATATTGTTCAACTTGAACCTGTAATATCTAAAACAAACGATTCCATTTGATATTTAAATAAATGTATTAAAGTCCAGAAAAAAAAAAAGCACAGTGTCCTAGAAATTCCAAAATTAACTGCAAATATGAAAGGCATTGTTACATTTGCAATATTTCACATATGACATTAACTCATAACAATCTATATGCTCTAAAACCACATACTTAACTTGAACTCCCAACAAATTGATTGCTTATCTGATTTAAGAAGAAAACCCATATAAATATATTGTTCAATTGAACCTCTAATATCTAAAACAAACCATTCCGTTTGATATTTAAATAAATGTATTAAAGTCCTGGAAAAAAAAAAAGTACAGTGTCCTAGAAATTCCAAAATTAACTGCAAATATGAAAGGCATTGTTACATTTTCAATATTATATGTTCTAAAACCACATACTTTACTGTACTCCTTGCTAACCTACATGCAATACCCAATCATAAATTCATGCTGATTATTAGTTTCTAGTTGCACAATTCAGTACTGCAGAAAGACAATGTCCATGTGATACATCACGCAGCTCTTAAAATGCAACAAATTCCATGCTGATATCCAGAATAAAAGAAAGTATACAACTATTTCAGAGTACATTAAATTATAACACATAGCTCCAACTAAAAATATTAATTAAGTTTTAATTTAGTAGCACCTTTAACTTCAAGGCTCTGCTTTTCAGCTTCCAGTTGATCTATCTTGTCAAGCAAAAGTTCTTTTTCTCTGTTCGTTCTGTTCAGCTCCTCAACAGCCCAAAGACGTTGTTTGTTCAAGTATAAAATATCTAAAACAGCATGAAAAAAGATAAGTATAATGCCAGCATAAAATATCTGATACAAATCATTAAATAATTTAAAAACGAAGGAACAAAAGAAGTTAATTAAATAAAGATATACTCTGCTGAGCTTCTTTAAAGAGTCGCCAAATATCATTATTTTTCATTTCCTGCTCCATATTTGAAGTCTGAAAATTTTCCTACAATCAACAAACAAACAAACCCTCATTAAAACAAGAAAACCAAAACACAAGTGAAGCAACCACTATAAATATATACAATTATACCTGAGACTTATCTGCGTTATCATGGCCACCTGACCTAGAATCAAACAAAACTCAATGAGCAATTCACAAATTTTGGTTCACATTCGAAAACAGTTATTAAAGATTATAAAACAGCTCAGAATTTCAGCATAAAAGTTAAATACAATCTTGCATAAAACAGCATATTATCGAAATTCAAACTAATTTGTAGTAAATGTACCCAAAAACAACAATTTATGGAAAGGAATACTCACTCCATTTTTAAAGGTAGTCTAGAGAAGCCATTGACGTTCCCATTCTTCCTGCAAAATAATCAATTAATTAAGCCAATTCTCAACAGAAACAACAACAAAAAGGAAATTAGAGAATTGAAATATAATAGAATAGAGGGATTGAAGTGTGTACCTGAAGCAAGAAAGCGGGGGAGTTTTAAGGAGCTTGAGAGTTTTGGTGTTGGACTTGTAGAAATGAGGAAGCGAAGGGAGGATCGGAACGTTGATCAAAGGTTTCGTCGTCATTCTCACCACAATCAACTCCAAAGAGAGAGATTGATTTTGATAATTTAATTGAGATTGAGATTGAGATTAAAAATGAAAATGAGAGTTGGTGCAGTAGTAAGGAAAATCGAGTCTCTTAAACTAAAAGATTTTTGCGCTTTTAATTGGATACTCAACGGTTAAACACAACGGCTAAGTATAAATACGTTTGACTCGATTCAATTTAATATATAACCAACTTCGTAGGCCCCGTTGCATACTCTTTTTTTCCCATGTAATAAATATAAACATTAAAACTTTATCTACGATTATCTAATATCATACTGAAATTCTAAATTAGATTATGTAATTTCCAACTGGTGGATACATCTAACTTTCGATATATGATTGATTTCCTAATCAAAGTCATGATTTCCATATTTGAAAGATGTGACGTGGATATAATCAGCCCTTCAAGTTCAATCTAGAAACAAGCTATTCTAAATAATTAACTTCTAAATATCTTAATTAAATCCAATCTAAAAACTTTTAAGGCATTCTGTTTGTCATATTCAATTTCTTTTCAATGTTTATCCTTGTCGAAAAAGATACATATAAAAGGCGTACGTCAATTATTTTAATTTTAATTTTGATCTAATTTCTTATGTTATTAAAAATAATAAATAATTTCATTTTTAAGTACACTATTTTAATCATTTGGTGATTACATTTCATTATATCATCAAAATGAAATAGCTTTTGGTTTTTACGCTTCCAATTCCACTTCTGACTTACTATTATTCACAAGAATTTATCCGTATTATCAAATACCCCAGATCTTTAAGCTTCACAGAAGGTAAAGAGATATTGCATAAATAATTAAGATGATACCCAAAAAACCTCACTTATTATTATTTATACCAAATTACATCTACCACTAACAAAGTATTTCTACACGAAAAAATTAAATTCAAAGTCCCATAATTTAGCTGAGAAAAGGCAAATTAGTGCCAGAACTACAAAGAAAGAAGATACAAAGAACCAAAGGGACTTCTGGGTTTCTGATTCTGATTCTGATTGATGAATGTCTGTATAATCAATGCTATTGGCTCAGCTTACGCTTCTTCGTCAACTTTCTCATTCGCTCACGCTTCTCCTCTTCCTCTATAAGGCGTAGTTGTTCTTCATCCTCTTGTCGAGCAATTCTTGCACTGTATCACGACAACATTTAAAAGAGACATGAAATACCATTAAAAAGAATTCACACAATAATGATGAACAATAAAATTCTCAAATATCGGTTTCATACATAAAATACAGGGGCCACTCCATATAAATGACAACTAATCATCAATAAAAGAAGAGAGGAAAGACTTGCTCAGTCCTCTTCCAATAAGTTCCATCAGGATAAAAATCTGAAATAATAAAAATGGAGAAATGACAAGTTTCATATCCCTGCAAAAAGGAATACAAAACCACAACTTTTAGGAGAGATTGATCTCTCGTGTAGCTTTCCAAAGTTAACACTTTTTGAAAGGAGGTATTTTAAATCTCTTTTTCTATCGATTTCTCTATGTACTCTCAGCATTGAAGACTTTACTACGCCATTAGCATCAATTGTGGTGAAGACTTTTGAGAGATGGAAGAAAATCAACATCGAAAACCAGATAACTAAAACAATACACACGCCAAATGGCCCCACTTCTACATATACAAAGAAAAAAACATCAAAGCCAAAGAGACTAGACAATTAAACAGCATCCTCATAAAAAATAAAGTCATACAAACCTTCTTTTCTCCTCTCTCATGATATCCTCAAAATTTGCCTCCATGTCGCTATCATCATCATCATTGTAAGTAGCAAATTTTCGGGGTCTGTAATAGAACAACTTAAATTAACCAACAACCTTAAACAGAAAGCAAACAAAGAAACCAAATTCACCAAATCTAGTATCAAAGTCACAGTCAACTCCAGGTTTGATTATCGAAAACCAAATGCGCAACACACAAAAACAAGCACACTCTTATTCCAGACCTCTCCTTTGGAAAATCTGGGTAAAGTTTTCGCAAACTTCTATCAGAAACCTAGACGCAGCATTATAAAACCTTTTTAATGTACTCTTTTCAATAAGTAAACCCATCTAATCCATGGGAGCTACCATGCCTCAAGCAGAAAGCTGGCTCAGAACCATGTTCAAGATTAACCTCTATATATACATAGGTTTAAAGAGCAAGATTTACCCCAACATACTCCTGAGCATATTGAAAGCCTCTGCATCTTCATCATCAGAATAACTTGGTCTCTTCTTGGAGCGGGGATCTTGAGCACGTGATGATATTTGCTTAAGTGGCTTCTTTATCTGTAAAAATATCAGGAAAGAAAGTAAACACAGACTACTCAGCCACAAAATATTACAGTCAAACCAACTTGCAAGTTGAACTATATATGTAACTAGTATAATGGTTAAAACCTGAGGCTTTGACGAAGCAGCCATTTGCTTCGTTATTGTTTTACTCCTATTGAGTTCTTCGGAGCCCCTTCTCTGTTCTAAGGGTTTCTTCTGAATAGTTGGTTGCATCTTTGAAGAAGGTGGTACCTTTGCACTGGGCAAATGATTCTTTGCAACTGGGGCAGAAGCTCTCTTCTGCATGGAGATCACAGGCACTTTGGAAGGCTGGGGTTTCGGCCCTGCGGGCCGGCCAGGCCCAATTCCATTGCTACTACTATGCTGCCTTCTAGAATCCATTGGTGTCAAATTGGGTTTACTTGCAGAAGTTGGCCTGTCAGGTCCTGCTTTAGAATGCATTTGGCCATTTGAAGAAACTATTTTTCTTTGGCCATTTGAAGAAACTATTTTTCTTTCTCCACGAGCCAAATTCATTTGGCTATTAGAAGAAACTGCTTTCCTGTCGTCACGAGCTAAATGCATATGGCCATTAGAAGGATTTAATTTCCTTTCTTCATGGGCCGCATGAACATTTCTGCCACTACTGCCCAATGGTGGTTTGCTCCTTGGTGGTACTTGAGCTGATCGCGCCTCTTGAACATAAGTAAAAAACCTGTATAAGTTTTCTCAATAAAAACATCATATTTTAAATTCCAAGAACCAGCATTCAGATTTGATGTAGCAAAGCAGCAACACACCAGAATTTGGTACAGCGACATTTCGTGTTGTAGGCTCCTTTTTAGGTGCTGGAAGCACTGCATCATCAGATAGAAAGGAGTAATCTCTTGAGACCTTAATCCTTTCAACTTTCCTTTGCATCTGTATTTCAAAAATCCATGACATTCATTACATGACAACAGAGGTTTCTTAACAAAGATAAATTAATTAATTAATTGAGACCAGAGGTCCATTTCAAAGTAATAGCTATTTAAAACAAACTGCTTCCAGTACCTCATTGACTTTAGGTATCCGACGATGTACTCCATTCTTGGATCCTGTACTATTTGAAGCAGAGGTCTTTCCATTCTGCAAAGGGAAGCAAAACTATTAAAATAGAAACATCACGATTAATTTAGAATTAAGACAAACAATGTCTATGGCAACTGCATTTTGCAGATCTTCTCGCTGCCACCAGATTCACAACATTGCAAGTAGACTACTCTTAAGGATCAATGACCCAAAAACCCAAGAGAGAGACAGCTAAAAACAAATCAATTATACAAGGTTGCTCTAAAAAATTGGACTGTAGAACTACTTTAAGGTTACAGATTGATAGAAACCCACTCTAATAACTCAATAATTTGGGCTGGGCCATGGGTCTTTCATGGGCTTGGGTAGAACTCTCCTTGGAAAACCGGCTTGCCAAGGGAGGGTGCCCAAGCCTTTATAACCCACATGCCCACCCTTTTCCCTTTCAATGTGGGATCCTAACACAGATTAAAGAACAGTATTATGTGCTTATATAGGAAAGCATGAGGCTTCTTTTTTATGCAAAGGCAGTTCGTCGTAAATATGATGAAATTCTTAATTTACCATAGAATGCATTTAGATAATAGTGTCTTGAAACTTTATTCAGAGAATGAAAGAAAAGAAGTAGATTTCAGAAGAAGTATGATAAGAAATACAAGAAATGAGAAAACAGAAAGACCAGAAAAATTTAAAAAAAAAAAAAAAAATTCATGATACTTAGACTATCTATCAACAATCCTTGATAATCTGACCACTCTCTTGTGCAAACTATCAACCAACACAAAAAAGACAAAATTAACCCAAATACCCAGTTTTCAATTTAAAATTAGAAATATGATCATTTTTGTAACAGTTAGAAAAACTAAATAAGCTGAAGAAAAATATCCCACGAGGATATAGCAATCCTTGGATAAGTAAAGCCTTAAACATACTTATATAAAAAAAGAAATTAAAAAATTGACCATTATTATATCAGATGGTCTATCCAATGTTAAGTAATAACCTTCATAAGTCCATTTGCAACTTCAGACAAATATCAAATTTTGCTACATATATTCAGTAACCAGAAAACAAAAGGTTTATGACACATACATTACGATAGGAATTTGAAAGCCTGGAAGCCAAATGCTGGGTCTCTAATATTGACTTGCTTTCTTGGAGTACTCTCTGAGAAATAGCTGGCTGAGAAGGGCCAAAGAAGGATCCAAAACTGCAGGAATATTAAATTCAGAATTAGAATTTAAAACAGCAAATTCAGATTTAACACTCAAATATCCCTAAATAAGCGAAGTGAAACAAGCTATATAAGTTGATACAAATATGCAAGAAACATAAACCATTGTGAAGCCCTGAATGTTACTAAGCGTACAGTAATAAACTTCAAGTAGCTTCTAAATGTAACCTGCATTAAATAGGATTAAGGTTATTTAGTCTGTACTTTGATTATCTTCAAGATTTATTTGCCATGGTATTTTCAGAGTTTTTTTTCTGCTTATGAGTTGTTTTAGTTTTTAATTCATGTTTGATTAGGATTAGGATTCTATTTCTTAAGCTTATAAATAGACTCTTCGTATTGTTATAGACATGGTTTATTGAATATGGCATATAAAAACCTCGATTTCTATACTTTCTGTATCTTTCTTCTTCTGTTACTCCATCAATGGCACACAAAGGAGACATGAATAATGCACAACCAAAAGAACAGTTTATGATCACTCAACTTTGCCTTCTTCCAATTGTAAAAAGAACAGCTTGTGTTCTCTCAACAGTGCCTTCTGCCAATTGTAAAAGAAACAGCTCAAATACGGTTCTAACCCTATACAGAATATTTTCAATATTATAACGTAGATTGCCAACATTGTTGTAACTTTCACTAGAAAAAATATAAGCTAGATTACAGTCATGTCAATTTCCCCACTTGCATACATATTATTCGTAATACCAGAACCTAAATGATACAAATCACTGAGACAGAGATCTATTAAATGAATTCCGTGGTGAAGAATGAAACACTTATTTCATCAACAACAATGATATATCACAATCCCAGCAACAAATCTAAAATAATTAATACCAGGAGAAAACAAAACACAAAATAAGCAAACCAAAATAAATAAATAAGTAAATAAGAAAACCATATTACTTGTCATATGGAAGTCTATTCTTTTTGTCTTGGGAACTAGCCCGATCAGAGCCATTTTCTTTTTTTAAATTTTTTCTGTGAAGTTCTTTTAGCTTTTGCCTATATTCAAGAATTTTCAGTTCTTCTTCTGTTGGTTTTCGTTCTTCCTCTTCGTATTCCTCCTCTTCCCCCTCTTCACCATCTTCTTCATATTGCTCTTCTCCTTCATCCTCATAGTCGTCATATTCTTCAGCTTCCTACAAGAACACCAAAAACACATAAAAACATAAAAAAGAATACCCCAATACTTGGAATATTAACCACCATTCCATTGCTTAGATAAATTTCTTGAAATATTTGAAGAAAAAAAGAACTTAGAAAAGATCTCAAAAGAGGCTTACATATCTATCATGTGCCCGCATTGCAGCTTAATACACTGATAAGCTTCTTGGTCAAACCCTGTCGATGCCTGAAGTACCACAAAAAAAAAAAAAAAAAAAAAGATAAATTTAAACAAAAAAAAAAAAAAAACCACAATTTCATACACATACTGAGTACTACAATCAAAAGAAGTTTCAAAAATTTAATCAAATTGCAAAGCAACGAATTTATATCGAATTCGCCACAAACAAGTGATTTGAAATGATTATGCAATCCAATTAAGTTTAAATCGCAAATCTGTTACTTACGATAACACCACAGAACAATCTGCATTTATTAATCGACAGAAATCCCGTCATTCATTAGAAATTCATAAAATATTAATTAAAGTCTAAAACTCAATCTGAGAATTTTGTAGATAAATCAATGATTTTTTTTATTTTTTTTTAAAAACCCTAAGATCTTAAATTTCACAAAACACGTCCGATTCCACTAATCCAATGCAATCGAATTCGAATCCTTCAAGTGTTAGGAGCTAAAAAGATTAATAAACAACAAAGCAAACGAAAAAAAAATCAATATGTCAGAAATCAATCGAGATCATATGAAATACCTTAAAAACCACAAAATCGGTGAATTTTGACCTAAATCAAGCGATTCTCAGCGATGTTGAAGAGAGAAACGCGGAAAAGGACGAGATCGGCACTTCGACGAAACGAAACGAGAACATAGAAGGATGCGCCTCAATAGGATTCTTTGCGGTCTGCGGAGGGTTATTGCGTTAATGTGTGGTTCGGGAACAGAGAGATAATAGATTAAAGAGAGTGCGAACCGAAGGACCCAGAATGTGAGAGGATTTGTGCTATAATACGCCAATGAGCGTAGTGCGCACCCCCAATTTCAGTTCTCTGAGTTCGGGGCCGAGTTTGTTTGAGTGACTCGTTTTCAATCCTTTTGAAGACTTTTAAATAAATAATTAAACAAAAAATAGATAAGGATGGCTTATAAAAAGACCAACGGTAAAGCCAGTGTTTTTCAAATAGGAAAACGGCACCGTTCACGTTATAACTAGCTTGCTCCTGCACAAAATATAAAACGTAAAACGCCCGAATTTGGGGCTTGTTCATTTACCATTCTGCCTGTACCCATTTCATTTTTTGGCCTTTGAAAAATGTGGAGAGGCTGCTCATTAGTATTTTGCAATAATGGATTCGATAAGTTTTAAGTTCGAATATCCTATTAATAAGAGTTGTCATTAAAATTCTTATCCAACCGATAATTTTATAATATCAAAAGATTAAGATTAGATCTTAAAGAATTAATTAAGATATGTTGTATACATAAACTAATTCGAACACTTCGTCGAACAAAAAAAAATTGAGAGCAAAGAGGTAAAGGTGAGATTATTGTGGGACTCAATCTAATATTTAATTCATTTATTCTCTTCTTTTTTATATTTTTTCTTCCATCTCCTAAACTTGAATTTTTAATTTGTAATCACGATTTTTAAAGCAATATTATAAACGGAAACTAACTATTAATATATGAGTAATGTTATGCTTACTCACGATTTTACTAACCATCTTATTATCCTTTGTAAATATAACGCATAGTACGGATACTATACGCATAATACGGATACCATATATAATTTTAATAAAGATAGTAAGGCGGTTAGTAAACTCATGAATAAACATAGTATTATTGTAAATATATTTGAGACAAATTTGTTGAGATGAATAAAATAATTGATAATTTAAAAAGATTTTATCAAGTGTAAATAATAAATTTCGTTTTTTTTTTTTTTTTGTGTTTTTAAATAAATATGTCAAACATTTTTTTTATCTTTACGTTTTTAAATATCTTGTTTTTATATAAGCATGACAAAGACGTCTTTCAATTTTTACCTTTTTTTAATTATTTTTAATATTTCTAAAAATAAAAAAAATACAAAATTCATAAAATAACACGCCGAAGCTGTTTATTTCATTTCGACGCCCGAGACAACAATTGTATTGGTTACGGGAGGATTAAACTTTAAAGTAAAATAGAGGGTACGCAAAGTGTTTGATGAAATACCTGAGATAGTCTATAAAAGCTAGTTAAATTTCAACGTAAAGATTAGCAAAATGGGAAGTGAAGAAGGCAACTTGAAATCCGAATGGAAGGAGAAAGTTTTTCAAATATTTAAAGAATTTATGACGAGGTAATCAAACTGGTGACATATTTATTTAACATTGCGGTTTCCATCACATGATTCATTGATTGTACTATTATAGGCTCGCAAAGCTTGAGGAATTGGGTGCTGCAGGAAGCAAATTACTTACTGGGTATCAGCAAGGACTTGGTGCGTGCTTTAATTATGCGTTAATACTTGTTCGAGAGTTAGAACTTAGAACTGAAGTCCTCTCTTTTTCTTCTTATTTTATGTATTCCGTGTAGAATTTCTTCGACAGCCTCCTATTGACAAAACATCTAAGCTGATTGAGAATATTGTTAAAGCTAATGAAACCCAGAGAGTTAAATCATATTTTGAAGCTGGCTGTATCAACGTTCATGACAGTCTACAAAATATGAGCAAGTGTAAGTGCAATTCTGTTTTAACCTTTCTGATTTTTGGGTGAGGTTTCATATTTAGAATGCTATATATTTGTAAGACGTTGCAATCTGGTATTCTATTTACAGTGTGCTATATCATGTTACTAGAAAAAAAGTATTGTCCGGGTAATGATACAATCCCAGTAACATAGCAAAACTGCAGCAGCGAAATTCACTTGCACATGTTTTTAAGTATCTTGACAGTGTAACGGTTGTGGTGATCTGTAACTTATTTAAATCTTGTGCTTTTAAATTTAAATACAGAAGTGCGTACTAGCCTGCTTGGACTTAATGACCATATTATTACAGGTAACATCCTTTTTTCAAATTTATCGTATTTGCTCTCAGTATTGCCGCAGTTTGTTTGAATTTATAATGCCTGTACAATTGTATCTGATTTTTATTTTTTAGTGGACTTGTGTTTCTTGAGTGTCATACATGGTATTCATTTATAATTGGCATTGAATACTCTGCCTTCCATCACCTTATAATTATTGATGTGCCCCTCCTAAGGACAGCTGGTACTTTGTTTTCTGTAAGTTGGAACTTGTTTTACAGTTTATTTTCTTTTGATAATGTGCAAATAATTGTTAATGTTTGAAATATTTATATGAAGAAATGAACTATGAGTGAAATTCATGTTTGAAATATTTATATGAAGAATTGAACTATGAGTGAAATTCATGTTTGAAATTTTTATATGAAGAATTGAACTATGAGTGAAATTCATGTTTGAAATATTTATATGAAGAATTGAACTGAGTGAAACCCAGTTCTATGTAACTACATGTTTATTTCAGAAGTGAGATTGTGGTTTGTTTATTGAAGTTTATTACTGCTTACAACTTTCCACAGCTAAGGCTTAAAGTTATAGTTTAATATGTTCTTAATTATTGGATTTGCAGCCAAAGGCATACTTAATGAACTTGAAGGTCTACTGGAAGATGTAGCTGGCGCAATTCAAACTGCAAATGAATGTTTAGCTCCTTTATGGGATGAAGATTCAGGCAGTGGATTGGATCTGCAAGACACTACAGACAAGGTTTGGTTTAATGTTGTTTGAATTTTTCAGTTGAGAATGTCAACATAAATTCTCTTTTCCTTTTTATGTTTACTCCCTTTTTATCGGTAATGGATACATTATTGTATGATTTGCATTGGTTTCTTTGTTGCTCTTTTGCATCTAATGTCTTCTTATAATCTGTCCTAGTTAGTCAGCCAAGATTACATGCGTATGCCATTCACACATTCATGCTCTGCCTTGTTAGCCTGCTGGTTGGGAACTATCAGAGCATCTTTTTCCCTCAAGAATAATGTAGGTTTAAGCATGGTTAGAAATTTGCAAATTTCTTCTGGCCAGTATATGGTTGGACAGAATTCTTCTCCTGATGTAACAAATTTGTAAATAGATGTGTTAAAATTGATACTATATTCCACAAAATTACCTTTCAACTATGAGTTTAAAAATTTATCCAGATGTATGGAGTTTAATAATTTTTGCCTGAATTACTCATATTCTCTGCTGGAGGTTTGACTGACTTCATAAGCTAATGTTTAATTATCTCTATCTATTTCTGTACTGGTAAAATGAATGCCTAATAAATTTGTAAAACCAGTTTCTGATGGTATACCTTGATCTTAATTTTATGTCATCAAGATTATCTTATTGCCACTGAAACCTCTTTGTCCTTAGGAGATAAGTACATCATCTCATCTTCAAGGACCTGAAATGACGGACTTGGCTGCTTTGATGGGAATCATTTACACTATGGTGAAGCAGGATTATGTGATGCAGGTAATAAACTTCTGATTTACTTGCTTTTCACATTCTTTTGTGGAGCAACGCACCCAAAAGCCTAGCCTCAGGGTGCTGAACCTTTTGATTTTTTTGCAATTCAACAGTTGACAATTTCACCACTCTATTGCAGGAAAGAATTGTTACTTCTCTTAATCTCAAGTCATTGTCAGTGGAGTTAGAGAGCTACTCCCTGATGTGGTCGTTGCGCCCTTTTATAAATGATGAAATTGTGCATCAAGCTTGGAGACTTATTCCTTGACAATTACATATGGTTTTGTACAGTGTCGAATATACTGAGTGGGTTTATTGAGTGGAAATCTTGTTTAGGAAAAGGTTATCACTGTTAATTGAATGCATCTATCAGTGGAGGCATTTCTTTATCCTTATTTTGACCTCTTTTAAGTATTATATGGGTTGGCATTTTTTAAAATGCTATATTTGTATTTGCAATAAGATACCATCTGTTCTATCATGGATTTATTGTCAAGTAGATAAATCATCATGATTTATTCATCCCACTCAAAACTGGGGAACCTTGGCTTTTAATATTTTCTATGAAGATCTTTGCAAAGATTTTATGTGGAAGGCACAAGGCTGGAGAGCATGCCTCCAAAAAAGAATTGATGCTGGTATCTGTCAGAAGGCAATTCCTAGCTCTTTGTAAATATTTGTTATCAGTGCTTTGGTAGAGGATCTTATCTCAAGCGAATAAAAATATCAATTCCTGCAGAGAGGTCTCAATTAGTGGCCATAATGCTTGCAACACATTTCTTGAGTCTACAATTTTGAGTTATTATCATATTCCTCCGTGATGATTTGATATTGCGAATATATCTCCATAGCCTTAAGGGAAAAGTGGGGACAAGTGGGACTGAATGTTCAGTCCTTCGCAGGTAACAATCATTTCAACCTAAAGAAATGTATTACCCACCTCTCCCCTTGCGTCCGGTGCTAAACCCTTTAGTCACTAGGATTAGTTATACCCAAAAGGTGTCACTAGGATTAGTTATACCCAAAAGGTTTTGTATTCGAGCTTTAGAAGAGTTATCTAAAAAAAATATGTACTAACTGCATACACAGCATAAATTGAATCTTTTCAATTACGAGGTTCTGAAAAACGTAGGGATACCTAAAAAGAAAAATGTATTGCCTGCATACCAGAAGCCATAGATTGAATCTTTTCAATTACAAGGTAACAACAGTTGCCATCAGTCTCAAGTCCAAAATTCATAATCATGTTGAGAAAGAAGCGTCGATCAGCAAAAGGGCAATCTAAAAGCAATAAGCATTACTCTAAAATGAAACCTGAAGGAACAATTCTACATATCTATTGAATCCAAAATCTTTTGCTTTCTACATATTAAATGAATGTCTTTCAATAAGTTTAACATCAAAGAAAAATATCTTAATTATGAAAGCCTAATTCTATTAACACTTTCGCACCAAAAAACAAAATCTCGCTTGTTGGGTTGCGCTATCAACTCTCTTATTGTTCTTCCCCAGCCTTGAATTAGAAGATTGGACCAGCAGCAAGAATCTCCTCGGTCAGCTTGCTGTCCTCACTTCTCCCCAAGATTGCAGTCAGTGAAAGTTGTAAAGTTGTTCTTGAACAGACCACCCAACTTCAGCAGTGTATCCTTGTAAGCCTGCTTGTCTGACCACTGAAATCCAAAACAACAATGATATCAGGTAAATGAAATCAGGTTATACATTACATTAATTACATGTGGGTATAAATCCAACTAACAGTGTTGTCTGGATCCAGAATTTGAGTTGGAACTCCCTCAATCTCAGTGGGATCTCAAGCCCAAACACCTCAGTCTTTTTGGCATCGATGATTTTTCGCGTGTATGGTAACTTGATGCGACTTCCGGAACCATAGCTGCAAGGAAAAAAGAAAAAAAGAAAAAAAGGCCATTTCATTCAACTTTTTTTCATATAAAATCCGATGAAGGGTACGGCATATTTTCAGAATAGGTATTAATATTCTTCAATGAATTCATACCTTCCACCTGACCAGCCAGTGTTGACAAGCCACCCTGTTTCTCCATGCTTCTGCATCTTCTCAGCCAACATGGAAGCATACTTGGTTGGGTGCAACATAAAAAATGCTGCACCAAAACAGGCTGAAAATGTTGCTGTTAGCTCCTTTACACCTTCCGCCGTGCCAGCCACCTACAGTTATAGTCAGGTTCAGTCATAAAAAACAGAAAATATTAGCTGATGCATAATGCATGAATTATGAGTTCCTCCAAACTCAAAAACGCACAAATGGGGCACTGATACAATTACCAGATGGCCTCAGAAATCAAATTTGTAATTGAATTACAGAAGCAGTTCAATAAGAAGGCATATACCAGAGCGGTGTAGCCGCTGCTGAAATGGTGCATGGTCTGTGCTAGGCTGATCGAGTTTGCTCACTGGTGGGAGCACACCAAAAGCATCGCAGGCCAAAAGGACCACATTCTTAGGATGCGGACAAACACATGGTATCTTTGCATTGGGCATATACTCAATGGAGTAGGCTGCACGAGTGTTCTCTGCAATAACAAGAAAAACAGCCACAATTTACCTAATATTTGAGAAAATTAGAAGAGGCTACGCTAAATGTTGATTATCCACCGCCCTGGTATGATCTCATCAAACACCACATTTTCCAAATCTGCCAATCAAAATCAGTTGCATCATTCTTCTTCTGTAGAGAGTGAAGCTCCTCAATGGTCTGAGCCTTAACTGTTGATGGACTATCATGATGACACAACCCATTGCTTATGTTTTTATCAGTCGTGGTTTTGATCTTTGGAAGCATAACGTTGCCGTTCGCTTCCGTTGATAATTCTCCCTCTCCCTCCTATTTAATTAATTAAATAACCAAATCTTATATAACAATAAACAATTCAAAATTTAAACAAAATTACCAAATCTTCATCCAAATTATATTATCCTCTCCTGGTCAGCACTCAGCAGTACAAAGTCAAAATTAATTCTTGTTCCATACCCTAAACTGCCGTCAATATTAATTATTTAGATATTATTTAATTTAAACTACATCATAATTCTATTTTCTTTTTAATTAGATGAGTGCCTTTGTTTATTTAAGTTAAATTTTATATTTTTACTAGGTTCAATGTAATTTTTATTTTTTAGTTTTTTATAAAAACCTTCTGTTATTTTAATTTTTACGGATAAATTTATTTTTTTATGTGTCGTTATTTTGGGTATTATAGTGTGGTTTGAGTTTGATATTACTTTTTTACTATTTTGCACTCATTTTCACAGTTATTCCAACTTCTATGTAGGAAACTCTCGGACCAATGTTTTTACTTATCTGTAAATTAAAAAGCTTTTATTAGTATTTAAACTGGAATTTATTACTTTAAACGTGTTATACTGTAATAATTCAATTTTTAAAACACATCCATACATTGTCAATTTGTGATACATCCATACTGGAAGTTTTACCCTGCTCACAATTTTAAAACCATATCATTGAGTCATATTCCTTTGCCTATATATATATATTTTAATTTTCTTTTGCAAATTTAAAATATTTATTCAGTTGGACACGTGTCGAATAACATATCAAGAGGTATTATAATACTTTACTCATTTAATTTTAATGTCAATTTGGTGGATTTAGGGTGAAGGGGTGTCAATGATACAAACACAAACCTTAGGGGTAGTTATGTTATATCACATTTCAAAAATAACAATTTTTTTCCCTCCATTTTTTTTCTCCAAAAGTAAATACTTAGATATAGGGTTATTTACACTTTCATCGTAAGGTTTGGAGTATATTTACTTAAGTCCAGTCTTAAATTTTTCAATAAAAAGACTATAATACCCATGTTGTTGTATTCACATTTTTTTTTAAATGAATAAAACATATATACAAAAACAATTGGATGTTTCCAATTTTTTATATTGTTCACTTAAGATTTTACTTTGATGAATTTTTGTATTTGATATTTCTTTTTGTGATCAGTGATACTTGGATGATGTTTTGATTTTTTTCATAATTATGAAATTAAACAGATTTTATAATATTATATTATATTTGGAATATCAACCATTATTATTATGAAAATTTAAATTTTTTTTGGAGATGTTTAGTATACTTTTACTTTTTTTATATATATATATATTTTATTCTTAACATGTGAATAAGAAAACAGGGATATTGAAAAGTCTCGTCTGGACTAAACTGTTGGTATCTTATAATATTAATTATTAAAGGTATGGACAATACATTCCAAATCTTAAGGACTAAAGCGCAAATGACCCCTTAAAGAAAAAAGGTTCCATGGCAGCAGATATAACCTTTGGCTTTTCATTTTAACTGAATATTTTTGGAACACAGATTGTGTCAGAATTGATGCTGGTTGAGCCAGCAAGCAATCCTTGCTTTTTTTGCTCAGGCAAATACTGATTCCAGCAAGGAGTTACCAACAATTGAGATCTTATTCCATTTCCATTATTCTTAAAACACATTTTCTTGCTTCAATATTCATAATTAATCAACTTATTCCGAATACATTCTTTTGTTTTCTGCTTCTTAATGAAAAATAAATGCCTTTTTTATACATAGTGAGAATATTATGATTGATGAGGAGGACAGCAAAAGAGCAATAAAAAAGATATTAATTAGCATTAAACTAAATATGAGTTATTTAATATATTAAGTAACAATTTTACATATCAATTGAGCCATAGAGCAGACTAGACATATTTTATGAAACCAAAACCCAAGCCTCTTTTATTTCCAATGACATTAAACCCACTCCACCACTCATACTATGCTTTACTCTTTTTCTTCTCTAGCCTTGAATTAGAAATTTGGACCAGCTGCAAGGATCTCCTCAGTCAGCTTCCCATCCTTGCCAATCTTGTAGTTGGTAAAAGTTTCAAAGTTCTTCTTGAATAGGCCACCAAGCTTCAGCAGTGTATCCTTGTAAGCCTTCTTGTCTGACCACTGCAGTCCAAAATAACAATGACATTAGGTGATTGAAAGCACATTTTACGTTAAGTCACAAATGTATGGATGTGTTTAAGAAAAAGTAAACTAACAGTATTCACTGGATCCAGGATTTCTGAAGGCACTTCCTCAATCTCAGTGGGGATCTCAAGCCCAAACACCTCTGTTTTCTTGTAATTTGCCTTCAACAGGCTGCCAGAGTGGATGGCATCGATGATTTTACGTGTGTATGGTAACTTGATGCGCCTTCCAGAACCATAGCTGCAAGAACAGGAGGATTTGAGTTCATTCTTTTAACAGAGTTTATCAAGGGATTGTATAATTTCAAAATAGGTACCGATACTCTTCAATATATACCTTCCACCTGACCAGCCAGTGTTAACGAGCCACCCTGTTGCACCGTGCTTCTGCATCTTCTCAGCCAACATTGCCGCATACTTGGTGGGGTGCAACATTATGAATGCAGCACCAAAGCAAGCTGAGAATGTTGCTGTTGGCTCCTTTATACCATCCTCTGTGCCGGCAACCTGAAATTACAATCAAGTTCAGTAACTGTAGCAGCAAAAGCATATCTAAATAACCACCATAGTCACAAATTTGTATTTTAATAACAGTAGTAGTTCAGTAAGAGGGTGTAATACCAAAGCAGTGTAGCCGCTGATGAAATGGTACATGGTCTGTGCCAGGCTAAGCTTGCTCACTGGTGGGAGCACGCCAAATGCATCACAGGCCAAAAGGATAACATTCTTAGGATGCAGACCAACACATGGTATCTTTGCATTGGGGATGTACTCAATCGGGTAGGCTGCACGAGTGTTCTCTGCAAATAACAAGAAAAAGGAAACAACATAAGAACTTTTCTGGTGTAATCAAATATCGCAAGTACGTCAAATCCAAAGATCCTCTTTTGTGCAATAATTTTTACATCACTGAATTCAGAGATATCAAATTTTAAATTCCGCTGGCTCCTTACACATGTAAAATTGCTCTATTCAGCTTCAAGGCTCTAAGTTGCAGACCTTTTTTCCTGAATCCTTAGAATGGAGCATTGAAAAAGTCTACCTAAGCGATTTACTTAAATTGCCCACTTGCCGAAGCAAATTAGTTGACTTCATATTATCACTGTTATATTAATCATACACTATCTAGGTGTATCTTAGGATGACTTCAGATTATTGCAATTGTATTAATCAAATGTTAATTAAATGATGTGACAGCAAACTAAAGTACCATATACGGATAAGGTCAACTGTACCATAAGATGACTCATCCAATAATCTAAATCCAATTAATGAAATAAAATATAACTTCCATAAAATTAAAATTAAAAAAAAAAAAAAATTTTGATTATTTACCTGTAACAGATTTGTCAGTATAATCCACCTCCCTGTTATGCTCATCAAACACCACATTTTCCAACACTGCCATTTACAATCAATTGAATTATTTTCATATATTCATGACATACCAAAACCAAAATCATAAAAATATAAAGACTAAAGAGAATTAAGAAAATACCAGTGCCAAACTTGATGGCATTCCAGATATCAGGCTCCTTCTCCCTTGAGAGATCAATGCACTTGGCGTAGCAACCACCTTCAATATTCGACACACCATTCTCACTCCAACAGTGTTCATCATCTCCAATTAGATACCTATTGTGATCAGTGGACAGTGTTGTCTTTCCAGTACCTAACATTAAAAGTATTGAAATGAACTCATCAATAACAATATAAACACCATAAAAACAAGAAGTGCATATAGCCATATATATGTCAAAAGATGTATAATAAGATGTTTAAGGACGGAGTAAGAAGGCAGCTATTGTTTGCGCACGTTAGCAGCAGATCATATCCATGATCTGATGATACTATACCTGACAATCCAAAGAAGAGGGCAACATCTCCATCTTTTCCCATATTGCAGCCAGAATGTAGGGAGAGGATTTGACGTTTAGGCATGAGATAATGCATAACACTGAAAAGACCCTTCTTCATTTCCCCGGCGTACTGTGTGCCGAGGATGACCATTTCCCTCCTAGCAAGATTAAGGTCTATGCTAGTAGAGGATGTCATGTAGTGAGTATAACGATTACACGGGAACTGTCCAGCATTGTATATAGTGAAGTCCGGAGTACCGAAATTCTCCAGCTCTTCAGGAGTGGGTCGGATACACCTGCCACCCACCCAGTTATCCAATTGTACACTAAGCTAATTTACCATTTCACATTGTTTAACCACTTTCCTCCATCTATGAAGGCTAATAAAACTCAAGATAGGATAATTATATTATTTAGGGATGAGAAAACTCAAGATAGGATAATAATATTAACATTATGTCAATGACGACAAGGAGACTTATCTGGCAGGGCTAAGACCTTTGAAAAAACAGCTGAAAATTGTTATTATATGTTTCACTTACATGTTATGCATGAACAAAGAATGGTATGCTCTGGCAGAAACAATTCTGACTTTGATTCTGTTCTGTGGATCCCAGTTCAAGAATTGATCATTCACAAAGACCTGCAAATTGTTCGTTCAACACCCATTATCAGTCATTAAAATAAATAGAGAATGCTTCCATCTAACAATATAAATACAGAGTTATTAAGAATAAAAATTTAGTAACAAAATATAGACTATTTAATTATTTGTTCAGGTCTTAGTAAATGCATAGGATATGATTTGTATGGCTGAATATGACATATTAGGTGGGGACCTAAGCCAACCAGGAAAATATTGCATCTCCCAATAGTTCAGGGCCATAAGCCAACTTGGAGAAGACGACGGTAAAGATTCCATGGCCCATATCACCATCATTAAATCTTCGCCTTTTTCTTTATTTTTTATGTTCTACAATTTTTAACTCAATTTTGAGAGGTGTATATTTAAGACATAACACGTCACAAAATGGACCCACTTTTATAAAAATAAAAAATTCTACCTTGTATTTTATATAATTCATAGTATCTTCGCCCTTTGGTAACAATTTAAGGAACATTTGGCACTAAAAGTTAAAAATTAGGAATTAATTTAAAATTTCTAAGACAACTTAGACATCAAATAAAAATGGAAAAATATTCAAATATATAATAATTATTATGAAATTAAAAACAGGTGGCCTTTACATAATTATTCAAACCATAAAGATAAATGTATCTACCCTCATACAATATACTAAAAATAGGTGTTTCCAATTATTCAATAGCTTGCCTTATTTTTATTTCTATTATCAAATAGAAAAAAAAAAACCATATATAAATCCCTTAATTTGTATAACAAAAAAAATTGGGCAGTAGTAAAATTTAAAAACAAAATAATAAGTTAGTAGATTTACTTTGTCCAAGGAGTTCAAGTAATCAACAGCTCTTTCTCTGTTGACCAGGAACGTATGCTCGTCCATCTCAATGTTAGGTGAACCCCTGTACATTCAAACAAACAAATTACTTATTAAGTAAATTATTTTCAGATTGGAAAGCAAAAAAGTAAAAATAAATACAATAATAATAAGCCTTTTTTTTCAATATTATATCTCTACCCTATTCTACTATTAAATCCTAAAAACTAAAAAATTGCATCTATTTCAATATTCTCAAAATCCTGTTTTACTTCCTTCATCTAATAAAATATTAATAATTACTTTCTTTTTTAAAGATAACTCAATTTTATTTTATTTTTAAATATTATTACGAGAATAATGAACCAATACATCCCATTTAGCTTTTTTTAATTTTTATTTTCTGTAGTCACAAATTAATATAAAAGCTAAGTGAGAATATAAAAGCACTTACTTTCCCCACCAAAGCTCATCTTTAGTGGTTTCATCCTTGACAACACGCTTATCTCTTGGAGAGCGGCCAGTCTTGGCTCCAGAGAGGGTTGCCAATGCACCGCTTGCGGTGATGAACGACCCTTGCTCGTATTTGATGGCCTGCTCATATAGCTCTACAAACCGACAAAGTAAATTATTTATTTTCAATATTTATGCAGATGATGAATTCAAGAAATAAATTGTTTTGAATTTTGGGTAAGACCTGCAGGAGAGAGGTTGTAAAGGATATGGGTGAACTTTAAGGAACTGTCACTGACGCTGATCGTTGGCGAGAAATAGTGCTGCACAGCGGCCGAATGCTTCGGGGTCTCGGCCTTCCTCGCCGGGTCTCCTCTCACCAACCTCGGCCCTGTTTCTCTCGTAAGTGACGCCAATGATGCACTGTTTAACAATAACACTGATTGTTACTGTTGGTCAACAAAGTGAACCCACAAACGTTATTTATCTGACACGAGAAACACGATTATTGTGGACAGCAAAATTAAATCACCACTCAGTCCTCCATAATATCAAGATTACCCTTAGAAATGATATAAATTTCACATAATAGTTTATCCCAGTGGAGGCATATTTTGGTAAGTTCACTTTAAATTTTATATTATAATATTGGATTATCGGAACCAAGCAAATCAAAGGCCCTTCTTACGTGGACCCAAAACTACGTCGTTTCCCGAGCAGCACCGCACCCAAAATTAAAAATCGGTGGGCCCCACAGAACGGTCCATCAAAATCCTGATTCCGTGTGTTATAACCGTAATCACCCGAAGATTGGGTCCGCTAGGCCAGGTCCCACTTTCTTAGAACATTATTATTCAATTAATTTCGTTTTTAAGTTTTTTTCCTAACTGCGTAGTTTTGACTTTTATAAGGTGTATTGCGTGTGTAAATGAACCTGATGGACTGGAGCTGCTGTTTTTCGCGTTCCTCTTCAGAGAGGTTGGCAAAAGCCCCCTGGGTTCCCTGAATGGGAGTGGTGGGCGCAGACTTCTTCTTCTGAAGAGAGTGAAGTTCGTCAATGGTCTGGGCCCTAACAGGAGGCGTACTGTCATCATGACAGATGCCGTTCTCTTTCTTCTGCGACGATGTCGTCTGGATCTTCGGCAGACCCTTCCTTGCGGTTCCGTTTCCGAAGCTGAACTCTTCGCTACCTTTCCCTGCCATCTCTCTCTACTCCCCGACTCTGCACATAACGAAACCAACAGACGTGTATATATATATATATATTAAAAATAAACGTACCAAAATTAGAATAAGTGGATTATGATGAAAAACAAAACCATTCGTTAGAATAACAAATAACAAATCTTTAGCTTCGTTAAATAAGTTCGTTGCATGAAGTATAACAGAATAGAAATGAAGAGAGAGAGAAGGACTGGACCAGATAGTGCGAAGACGAAACGAAAGGAGGAAGAAAGAAGAGAAAAAGGACTAATGAGAAATGAAGGAGAAACAAATAAAGGGCTCGATCATCAAATTGCAGTTGTTGTCGTAAGAGCAAAGGAGAGCCGAGAGGTTGATGCAAAATGAAGGTACCCGATGCGGGGTATTTAAAGGGTTCAGTGGGGACGTTAACCAAAGTTTAACCAGAGTAATGGTTAACCATGGTTACATTCTATCCCGCATCATGGTCAAGGACTGAAACTCTGGAAAGAGAAAATTTCCAAAAACTCATTTAAGGAAGGGGAAACGGAGTGAGTGAATAAACGTAGTCAGATATATCCCAGAAATTCTTGAGGGTCCCTCATGCCTGATTTAGGATTCCAAAGTGATAGTTCGTCGTTAGATAAGTTTGCCGTTAGGACTCGTTTGGTATGTTTTTTTGTTAAAATTACAAAACCAAGTTCAGTTGAATAATATTATTTATGTTTATATAAAAATGTCCATGATTCTTATGTCATCTACTCCGTTTATTTAATTTTTATTTATTCACTCCTTATCTTTTTGCTCGTCCATTTTGTTATGTAATATCTCAGCATATTAGTTATTGAGTTTTTGGTTTTATGATTCTGAAAATGATAATTATATAGAAATAAAATAATAAAAATAATTATATTAATAATATTTCATAATTATAATGTTAGTATATATTTATATATTCAAACAATAATCATTTAAAAGTATTAATTTTGATTTCTAAAACAAACAAGCCCTTAAAAAAAATCAATTTGATTGGATGAGACTGTCTGCTAGTAGTAGTCTCGCAATCAGCAGAGCAGCTCAAATACAGAGACACGCAAACCGCAAACAGCGTAGCCCCCACACCACACGTATACAAAGGGGTGGGGGGGTTTTCAAACATTATCACAACCAAACTGTCTGCTACATGAAATTTAATTTAATCAAATTTAAATTCATATTTCAGTTCCGAAATTACCGTGACTTCTCGTCAAAAACTCGGATTCTTACACATTACATTGTTTGGTTTGGGATTGAAAGTGAAACGTTGGTGAGTTTCGATGCAATGTGGTCGCGTCCACAAGACCTTAATGTGCGTATATAAATGAAAAGTTTAGATTGGAGAAGTTATTCGGCGTCAAGTCGCAAGGGAAATTATTAAGATTCGGGGCCCACTGATTCTTCTTCCAATGGTCTGATTAATTGGCAACCTTCCATTTTCACTAAGCAACAGCTGCAACACACCCATTTTAGACGTAAGAATTAATGATAATTCATCGTACCTTTGAAGTTTGAATTAAAATAAGAAAATGGCGTAGATGATAAAAAATTGAGGGATTTTTTTACTATTTATATCAAAAGCTTATTTAATATTACCTAATTTAATCATATATTATATTATGTGTAGGATTATTAGTATCTCAAATTAAGTAACACGGATTATTAGTATCTCAAATTAAGTAACACTTCACCCTTTTGACAACAAAGGATTGTTATTTGATTACGCATGATGGTGCAAGTTGGCTCTTAGCAAGAAATATCAAGTTGAAAAATGTGCATAATGGTGCAAGTTTTTTTTTTTTTTTTTTTTTTTTTGTTATCGGAGTGTTCAGACCAGTTTACGTGCATTTTGACTAGTCATTCGACCTGAATAAGGCTTTCGAAACAAGACAAACCTTACAATCTGTGATCAATAATATTAACAATATTTCTCGTGATTCAAACCTGAGATGACAAAGGAGTAAACCCCTTAGCCCCAAGTCTTTACTGTTAGGCTAACCTATTGTTAGTTATAATGGTGCAAGTTGGCTCCTAGATAAATTGGATTTATCTTTAAATATTGAGATTTTAATGTAAGATATATGTATATATTTTCCCGTGTTAAAAGATTAGATTTAGATTAGGAAGATGATAGTTAAAATTTATTTTTAAATATAAAAAGTTTACTTTGGTGACTGAGAATTTTAAATACATATTTAAGAATAAGAAATTATTACATATCCTCCCATTGTTAAGCTCATGAAATGAACATGACATTTGATGATAATTATCTTTTGAAATATATTTTTATTTATAAAATTACTTTTTTTTTTATGGTTTGAAATATATTTAGGTTTTAAAAAAAAATTAATGTCAGATGATATAATGCCGTGCAGCTAATAAATATGATAACGGGGCCGTGGGGTATCCCATCCCTCTATTCGATCAAAATGAATTGTCACCATTAATGTAAATATTGATCAGGTACGAATAACATCTTCACAGACCAACCTTGCCTTTCTAGAATGCTTACAAATCAACCATTACCTTTATTTCTATTTTACTTTTAATTTTGTCTCACCAAATTTAGTATTATTCAAAGACTATTAAGTGTCTACTTTAACACACAACTCTTGTGAAATGATCTTCACATTTTAGTTTCCATCAATATTACATCATTACATTATTACGGTTCAAAAATAACGATGATTGTTTTTAATACATTACTAAATTATAAAACTAATAAAATTCCTCTTTTTTTTTTTTTCAGCACTTATCTTATCAGCTGTTCAGAATAATTTCATTAATAAATAGTTTCTATTTTAACTGAAAATTGAACAAGGGGAAATGAAACTTATCCAATTAAAATCGAAGTCTAAACACTAGAAAGGGGCATGAGCATGTGAAGAGTTCAATCAATCTAAAATCTGCACCGTTCATTTGGCAATAAAGAGTCAGATTCTCAGGAAATAATTCTAGTTTATAAGACAGACGACTTCTGGTTTCTATTTAATAAAACCTTTATGATAAAAATATATTATACTTTAGTTTTACCTTTAAATAGATTAATTAATAACATATAGTTATAATTTATCAAAATTATTTATAATAATACATTGCCTTTAGGTGTTATGGTAAAATAATCATTTTTTCTCATGTCATTTCAGTATTTTAAATATAAACGTATATATTATACAAAATGAAATTACATTATATCCAAGACATAAAATAAATAAATAAATAACCTAAAAATTGTATAGCCTCTTTTGCCAGTAACATAAAAAAATCATATTCAACGATTATCGATAACCTTAAGTTGTGGATGCTATACGAAAACCCAAACAAAATAAAATTTAGGGTTTGTATAAAACGTGTGTGGCTGCGGACTTTTTAACATTTTCCCAATCACGTATTCAATGTCGTAGGGGAAGCTGTTGACTTGACATCACACATCCATGTCAGCCGTTATCTATCGGTTATCGATTCAAGCACCGATGCCAAATCTTCCGCCACGTCAGCTGTCCTTTTAGAGAGCTATCCGAGGTTTAAGCCTCCCAGCTGTAAAAAACTGGAATCTCTTCGCTTACATCACCTGCAATTTGCTATATAAATAATAATATTTATTTAAAACAATGATTTAGTCCATTTAGTCATAGCACGAAGAAGATTTTTTTTTTTTTTTTTTAAATTGAAAATATACTTTTAATTAGGGGTTTTCCAAATATCTACTTGATTGATTGATGATAGATTCAGAGTAAAAAATTATGAAAATGTTAACTTATTGGAATTTATGCATATGGAAACAAAATATGGACTATTGTTGCTAGTTTTTTTCCTTTTCTATTTTTGTTTCTCTTGACAAATTATAGATTTGTTAATGTTATTTATCAAGTTCTCAAATATTTTTCCCATGTAGGATTCTTAACGTTTAATTTTAAAATTAAATAAATAGACAAAATACTAATTTCATACTCATAAGCTACAATCACTTTGGTTGACATTTTGAGATATCTCATAAAAAAAATATAGTATTATTGTAGTATAATATATAGTATTATGTCTGTTTGATACAGAAATCTGTACCAACCAGAGAATTCTGATTGACCCTGTCAGAATCAGAATGATGTGCGCATGGTTTAAGAAAATCAGCAATGAATATAAAAGAAAGAGTCATAAATAAGTGTAAGAATCAGACTGCATGAGAAGAGTGGTGGAGATGGAGAATGAAAGCATGAAAGCATGGATTCTAAAACCGGTTTCAAACAAAGCTTGGAAAAGAGATTATACCTACTCTTTTGCTTTGGATTGATGAAGATTAGCTTCAAAATGATGAAACTCCACACTTAACACCATTGAGTAGAGAGTGGCCTTGGGTTTGAGAGAGAGTTTTGGTTTGGGTTTTTGTGAACTAGTCAAGAATGAAAATGCAACCTTTTGCACTTATATATACTGGGCAATATTGCAATTATTTATTTTTCACTTCCAAGCCCAATAAAATCTTATTTTAAAAGGGACCCCACGAATTAATATGCTACCCTTTGAATAATCAATATTATTCAAGGGCCCATGTAAACTAAACTAGTTTACATTAACAACCAAAAAATTTACCCATTTTTACCCTTAACTATTAAAAGGTTATTTTGTTTATCTTATTAATCTTAACACTTTAGATATAATAATTAAATATAATTAATTATTGCTTGACCATTTACCCTTAAAATGTCACAAATGATTTCTATGTAACTATTATATAGAAATCCCGTTATTACCCTCGAAAGGTGCTAGCCCTCTTCGGATAATCATTTCTCTCTCTCATCCTTCTCTAACTTTTCAAGGCTATTGGTGGCCATGTAGGTCCACCGTGGATTAGCCGTGAGCCATTCTGGATGAATCCGGAAACCTGTCCGTAGGCCACGACTATGGTAAGCATCTAGCAATGTGCCATAGTCCCTAAACCACGATGAAGAAATACTTCATCGAACCCATAGATTCATACGTACCATGCAAGTAAGTTCTCCATGAGTATCCTAATCGAGTATGGATTCATGGAATGTCAAAATCCTAAACTCGATCTTCTACCGATCGTCGATCAATATGTCTGGAACTTGTCATCACAAACTTACTTTTGTATGACTAATAATAGACTCTGGCCAGAGATTCAGTTTTCTGACATTTATCGATGTTCGTCTAGGAACTCGAATCGGATGGAGTCAACGGTACTCCTGATCTATTTTTGAGTCAATCGATCCCTCTTGATCATCGTTCGTTTCCGCATATGAACAACGCATAACCAAATAGGCTTTATTATACGAAACATGATTAGTCTCGTACTTATACACTGTATGAACCCCATACGCATCCATAATCGGATCGGAATACA